CTCAGGCGCATTCTGAAGGCCCACCAGAGATTTCTTCTCATTCCACACCCGGGTCAGCTCTGCACGTATGCACAGATTTCTGCAACAAAGTTTATCTTTAACATTCTTTAAGCCTGCAGCAATGCCTACAAGACACTCTGGACAGAACACATAACTCCGTGGAGGTACCTCCACCAAGGAGCTGGCGCCAAAGCCGCCCCTGGCTCTTCAAGATTGAACTTTGTTCTCAGGGAGCTTACGCAAATGTCTCCCTTTTTCTGCTCTTAAAAAACTTCCCGTTGAACCAACTTTTGAATGCACGCATACTTTACAGTGGCACCAGGGTTTCCTTACAATGCTCTACAGATCAGATCCCCTGTAAACATCATCACTGGTGATGTTTTTGTGGACAGAATCTAGCAAATGGCCCCAAACAGCCCAAACATCCTTGAACAAGAACAATAAAATCAAAGAGCCTACATTCTGAGAACAAAAACTCCAAACAAGGTGGCATGGGTATAAAACACCGAAATAGATCAAAGGAACAAGATGGTCCAGAGATGAGCACGCAGGACTGGAAAAAAAAAAACATTTTTTATTACATGTACTTATTTATTTTATGTGGAGGGCATGGACGACACAGTGCTTATGTGGAGGTCAGAGGCTAACTCTTGAAAGTTGGCTTTCTCCATGTGGGTCCTGGGAATCCAACTGCGGTAGTCAGCTTGCACAGCAAGCTCCTTTACCCACTGAGCTGTCACTGATTTTCAACACAAGGTGCAAAAGCCTCTAGGTGTAAAACTGCTTCTTAGAGAAAATTGGCTAAAACAACTGAATATCCAAATACAAAAAGAGAAAATGAAAATAAATAAATTAAAAAAAAGATTTTAAACCTCATTTTAGATTTAGAGTTTTTTCAAAAAAAAAAAAAAAAAAAAAAAAAGAATAGTAGGAACAGAATACAAGAGAAAATCTTTGTGGTTGGGGGACATTCAAAGGAGCATTTGGCACAACATTAAAAGCACATTCTCTAGAACAAATTGACAAATTGGAATCCATTATTATTATTATTATTATTATTATATTATTATTACTATTAATTTGGTTCTTCAAATGGTAACTTGAGGAGACAAGCTAGGGACCAAGAGAGAGAATCTCTGCATAGTATGAGATTCTTTAGGTCTGATCCAGGATCCCTAAGGAACTCTCAAAAATCAATAATTTGAAAGCAAACACCCCAAAAGCAAAGTGTTGGGTCAAGATCTGAACAGCAAGAGGCACATGGAAGAAGCTGGTCAGCAAAATGTGTATAATAGCTCACGTCTGTAATCTCAGCATTGTGGAAGCAGGGCAGAATGACTTTGCAGAATTTGAAGCTAGCCTGATCTACCTAGTGAGATCATGTCCCAAAAAGCCAAAAGAGCCAGATGCGGTGGTACCTGGCATGACTTTAATTGGAAGCACTCTACTAGGAAGGCAGAGGTGGGCAGGTCTTTGTGAATTCCAGGTCATCCAAGGGTATATTCCGGCTCAAAAACAAATTAACAAGCCAAAGGAAGGGCTGGAGATATAGCTCAGCTAGCTGGTAGAATGTTTGCCTAGCATGCCCCGCATGTTCAATGCCCAGCACCGCTTGAACTAGCATGATAGGGCTTGCCTGTGAACTAACACTCTCGAGGGGGAGGTAGGATTAAGAGTTAAAGGTCATCTCAGCTATATAGTAAACTAAAGGATATGAGCTTCTGTAGCTGTCATCTATCTATCCAACTGAGAGTTGGAGGAGGAGAAAGACAAGGCAGCAAAGGCTGGGAAGGACAGACCATGAGGGTAAATACTAATTGACTACATAGCAACCTGGGAACCTGGGAGATGAACCTCAGCAGAAATGTACTGTGAAACAAGTTCTTCCCATGGCACATCAAAAAATGGCAGGGAACAAGGAGGTGTGGGAAGGACCACAAAGCCATAGGGATGCTTCATTGGCATCTCAGATGACAATCTGTGTTAACACCAACCCAAATGCCCACTATAAATATGGTATGTCAATTATTCATTATGAAAGTCACCTTCAAATTGAAAAGCTAATGGCAAATTGGAAAAGAGGGATGCCTGTTGGGGTGGAGGAAGCGACAGGGTTTCTTATAGTTCAGGCTGGCTTCCAACTCACCATGTAGCTGAAGATGACTTCAGACTTGTTGCCTCCACCTCCTGTGATGGGATCACAAGCATGCCCCACCACGTCTGGTTTATCCAGTGCTGGAGATGTGGATTGTTCAGAGGCCACAACCACTACATCTGAGCTGGAACGGAACTGCTGTTGGTGTTGGGAGGATCTGGTGTGTCCCCGAAAGCCTTCCCCTACATTGTCTATCTATCAGTCCCAGAAACACCTGACATTGAACCTCAAAATTCCAACCAGAAGAACATTGTGGAACCTTGGACAGGCTTGGGGTAGGCACTTGAAGTGGCATCGTATTCTCTTTTAGAGTGTGTCCCAAGATCAGTTGCTCATCACTCTCCTAAGGCCCTTCCTTCTCCCTTTTCCAAGCCATGAGGACCCCAGCTCCCAGGCCCTGTGGCATCTCCATGCTCAGCACTTCTTCATTCCCAGCCCTTTCTACTCCTGCCCTTCAGGGAGTCTTTTCTCCCTGAGTTAGACACCATATGTTACATATATGGTTGCCTCATACTTCGATGCTTTCTTCCCAAGGGATGTCTCAGAACCACCTCATTTTAGACTGGGCCAGCAAGATAGTTCAGTTTGGGTAAAGGTGCTTGTTTCCAAGCCTGATGAATCTAAATTCAGTCTCTGAGACCCATGGGGTTTATCAAGTCTCTTTCCCAGCAGGCACGGCCAGCTTTGAACTCAACTTTGGGCTACAACTTTGAGCCCATCAACTGGCAGCTTTAAAAATGGCTACAACAATGCTTAATAAGGAAACATCAACACTGAACTTTTCATGTTCCCTCTTCTAGCCAGTGGCCTCTTAGAAGAGGTGTGGAGTGGGGAGTACACAGGGCTGTGGTAGGTCAGTCAGACTGAACAACAAGAGAAGGGAGAGGAAGGGTGAGACAAGTCTGACCTGGAGATGTAGGGAGGGAGGGCTCAGAACCCAGACTAGGCTAAGGCCATCTGCTGCTGTGAAACAGCCTATCCAGCCAACAGTCTCGTGGGCCATAGCCACACTCAGTATGTATCAGGAGGCCTAGATTTGGGCATATGGGCAGGGACCTGTGCTCATTACTTCATTGCTCATCTTCAATTCCTTCATCCTAGGTAACCCCAATGCTCATTTTCATCACTAAATAGATGGGGGGAGCACTCCAGATTCTCCTAGAACAATGGTTCTCAACCTCTTTCACAGGGGTCTCCTAAGACTATAGAAAACACAGATATTTACTGTATGATTCATAACAATAGCAAAAGTACAATGAAAATAATTTTATGGTTGGGAGTCACCACAACATGAGGAACTGTATTAAAAGGTCACAGCCTTAGGAAGGTTGAGAACCATTGTCCTAGAGTCACCACTATTCTATCCAGCTAGATCTAGAAACACAGCACTACCAGTCTTGGGAACTAGAACCTCCTGGAGGTACACTATGGCCCCTTATAGGGTACCTGATATCTCCATCCTTGCCTCCCCCAACCCCAAAAGGCAACCATGTTGCCATGGGGTGCAGATAGTAACAAGGACTGAAGGAGCTAGAAACCAGCAAAGAGAAGACCTTGTAGGGAAAGTGGGGCCCACAAGCAGGAAAGAACTACAATACCACCAAGTCAGGGACAGGAGATATGGACAGGGATCTCTTAGTATGAGCCAGGCTGGAGGGTCCCTGGCCCTGTGCAGGGTGGAGGGTCAGTGGACAGAAAAGCCTAAGAAAGCTAGTGGCCTCTTGGAGGAGGTGTGGCCAGGGGCTCCTGGGACAGGGAGTATGCAGGGCTGCTGGGCTGCAAATGTGGCTGGGCAGCCAAGAAAGGGAGGGAAGGAGAAAGGAGGGGGTCCTGGGAGTCTAGCCTGGAAGGGAAAACAACCCAGTCCGGGCTGGGAGAGGGGCCTTAGACCTCAGACAGGAGGTCCAGCCCACCCCACCCTTCCCCAGCTCTGCTGCTCCAGGGATTGTTGGCTAAGCTGTGATTGAATTGTTGAGGAGGGTTAGGGTCCTGTGTGGAATGGGGGATGGGAGGTAGCCTCTTGATGTGCCTGTGGGAGAGAAAGAGACAAAGAGCTGGGCATAGCGGAAGGCATTGTGGATGTTTGTACAGCTAGGCTGTGGGACACAGGGTGGGGGCTGGACAACCAGGCCTTGGTGAGCCTTATAGGGTGATTTAGTCCAGTGGCGAAAAAGGGGAGTGGGAACAAAGGTAGTGCTGGACTATCTATAGCAAGGGGACAGTGTGATTCAGAGTAGATTGGGGGTGCAGGGTGTATGACAGTGCTTGAAGGAACAATGCTATGTTGGGATGGGAAAGCAGGACAGTAGGTGCCCTTTTTAGAATCCAGCAACCAGCAGTGCAAAAATACGAGGTGGCTCATGACAAATCGCGGTGCCCTTGTGGGTGGGGAAGCATGTGGATGTAGGGCACTTACAGGATGAAGAGCAGGGAGGTACATTGTACACAGAGTTGTGCGCGGGACTCTGCTGTGTATGGTTCTGGGTGGAAACAACGGGTACAAACAACGAGTACAGTGTGCTCGCGGGCTCTTTGCGGGTCCCGGTGAGGGGCGGGGTTGTGCGTTGTGTGCCAGGCGGAGAGGCGGAGTGCACTGTGCCGGGGGCGGTGCCTGGGAAGTTTGTGGTGCACGGGTGGGGGTGGGAATTTGCGGGATACCGAACGTGCGTGGCCCTGGGTGCAGGGAGAGGGGTAGCGCGGCCTCCGGAAGCGAGGGGGCGCTGTGCCAGCGCGGGCACTGTGCAGAGTGTCACTCCTTCCGGACCGTGAGGTGCGGCTGCCATGGCGCGGAATGTGTTGTGAGTAATGTCGTGGCCGGGCTGAGCGGGCAGCGCAGCCCAGGTCGGGTGGGCGCGGGGCCCGGGCGGTCCCGAGGACCGGAAGCAGGAGGCGCCCGCACTCGGCCAGTTTCCCGCAGGAGTCCACGCGGCAGACCTACCGCGGCGTAGTGTGCTGGCTGTCAATCACAGCCAACGGCTCGGGCCTGCTCTGGCAAATAGCCAGAGCTGGGCCGAGATCGGCCAGTGCTCGCAGCACCCCTGCCCCAAACCCCCAAAAGTTGCTGCGTTCACAGATCTCCACGTGGCCAGCAGGGCTGGCCTCCCAGTCTAAGCAGGAAACACGTGTTCAGTGAACACGTGACCCACTGGATGGGTGGCCCTGTGTTGAGCATTAACGTGGGTTTGGGGGGTTCTCATGGAGACGGGATTTGGGGAGCCCTGCACACAGCTGGGGAGAGGACTTCAGGAATTGCCTGGTGGGCACCCGTGTAATTTATTTCGCAGACTGGCTAGGAGGGACCAGGGCCCTCCGAATCAGCAGGGCTGTGTGAGTCAGCCACGTACTCACCCCCTGGCTTTGCAGGGAGCTAGTGGGACCCATGTGTGAGTGGATGTTGGGTGGGTGGGGACAGGGTGAGATCAGGGATGAGACCTGAGCTACCAAGGGCAAGTTGCAGCCTAGTTACCAGTAGGGAACCAGGTGCCCAGGTTGTGAGGGGAGGAGAGCCAAGAGTTCCCCTTGAAATAGACTGTTTGGGGTGTTTGTAAAAAGCAGTAGGAAGGAAGTTAAGTTAGAGGAACCCTGAAAAGCCAGGCCTCAGAAGAGCAGCAAGGCTAGGAGAGCAGGGAGGGTCCTGGGACCAAGAGGAGGTGACTCCGAGGGGAGTCACCAGGCTTGGGATGTGCCTGGCAGTCTGTGGGGAGAGTTTGTGGGCAAGGGCAGATGTAGGGGAATCAGAAATGTGCAGGTAGTCCTCATGGTTCCAGTGTGGTCTTAGGGCCTCTGCTCTCAGGTCCTAACCCTGAAAATTCAGAGACTAGAAGATTCAGGGAGCTTAGTGAACGCTGTACCCCACTTTCCACCATTAAGGAAGGTCTTCCCAATTTTGTCCTAATGCTGGGCCACAGTTAGGGCCCTGCTGATAATGTGTGGCCAACTTGGATACTACAGTTGACCTGGACTTCAAGGCACCATATCCCTCTTCAAAACCCGCCCTTCTTTCGGGGGTCTTTTCCCTGCCTTCCTTGCTGCCTGCTGTAGGCACAGAGCTCAAGGTCCTCTCAGAGGTTCTGCAAGGGCACTAGAGATCTGGCAACAATGTATGGATTTGATCAAGGGTTGGATCGTTAGTGACTGAGTTTGGCAAACATTTAGCTCCCACCAGGCTACCTTCATGGTCCTTTCCTGTGGTGTTCTCTCAACTTGGAGAGCCAGCATATACTTTTCCAAAGCTAGATCCACATGGAACTCGGTCTTTCACAGGTCTAGGTGCTCCCGGGTTTGACCCACATGCCACACCTCTGGTTATCAGTGTGACCCTAGGTGGTCCTGTGTACCCATCTTCCACCTGGGCACCGTGGACTGTGAACCTCTAGTAAGTCCACAGACCTTGACTTTCTCCACTTCCATGTCTGTTCAGCAGGCTGGGAGGTGTATAAGACCACCAGGCAGAGATTCTGCTTTGTCTACAGGCCTGATAATGGTGAGAAACAGTGGCTACCCCAAATCCTTAGCAGCTTCTGCCTGTTTGGGTAGTTTTAGGAATCCAGTGAGGTGTTGCCAGCACCATGTTGCAAACACTGTCTTTATCAGTAATGTCTTTATCAGTAACCCCAGCCTGCTGATCTCCCTCTCAAGGAACAAGGGCTCTTCTTTGCTGAGGGGGAGAGTAATGGGGTCCTTCTCCCTGGCCATGGGAACACCCAGAAGCAGGAGTTGGTAGGCCTTCGGAGGAGGTGGTAACTTCAAGTGGAGTACCACTACCACTCTGCCCATGAGGTCCTCCCCCCTTGCTCTCTTACATTTTTACAAGTTGTGACTATGACCACCATGCCATACTATAATCCTCAGCTCTTGTTTTGTTTTCATTTTTTTTTTTTTTTGTTCTTTTAAGCTTCCCTTTTGCCCTTTCCATAGGCTTGCTGCTAGAAAGGGGCCTCTAGGACAGGGTGGATGAAGCCCACAAAGGCTTTCAGTACAACCCTGGCCACCATAAGCTCCTGTGCATGTCTGTAAAGCTGAAGAGACCCTACCCCAATTTATATAGATATTTCCCCCTGCCCCTTGCAGTAGTATCCATAACCCTGGTACGCCAGAAGGGAGGCTAAGGACTGGGAAACTTCTTGTCCCACCCCCGCCCCATGTACTAATCACACCATGCAGTCGGGGACAGGCCCTGTGACCCTCCATGTCCTGGTACAGTTCCTATGATTAACTGCCCCCTTGACCCTACTGGTGTGAGTGAACACATGAGCCTGTTGCACTGGTGTGTATGTGTGTGTGCAACCCTAAACCTTTAATTTCTCCTGAGCAGGTACCCCCTCTACCAGCTGGGTGGTCCCCAGCTCCGTGTGTTCCGAACCAACTTCTTCATCCAGCTGGTGCGGCCTGGTACTGCCCAGCCTGAAGATACTGTGCAATTCCGAATCCCTATGGAGTAAGTAAGTCCCAAAGGAATTTGGGGGCTGGGGAGCGGCCTCCAGGATGTGGGTCCTGTCCTGTTTTCTAGCTCAGCTCCCCAGGGCCGGGCTTTTCCTGTGGTGGAAAGACCTGGGGCCGCTTTGCTTGCTCAGCGGATGGTGGAGGGGCCTGATGTTTGCAGAACTTCAGGCAGCCAGAGAACAAGCATGCTCTTGGCTGGTTTCCTGGCTCGCCCTCCACCTGGGGAAAGCTTAACAGAAAGCCTGAGATTTGTTGAATTCTTGCCTCCATCCTTTTCCCAGGAAAGGAGTCCCCGGAGGCTGGGTTGGAGCATGCTGAGATTTGCAGAGCTTCTAGATTGTTAGCCCTGAGTTCCTCACCTCCTTCTGCTCAGTTCAGTGTGCCATTTTTTTTTTTTTTCTTTTTTTAGGAAGGAGCAGTCAATCCCGACTGCTGGTGTTGCTCTGAGTCCTAAAAGCCTCAGGCACCAACTCAGCTGGGGGAGAGGGAGCAGGATGCAAGGGGCAGGGGGAAATATCTATATAAATTGGGGTAGGGTCTCTTCAGCTTTACAGACATGCACAGGAGCTTATGGTGGCCAGGGTTGTACTGAAAGCCTTTGTGGGCTTCATCCACCCTGTCCTAGAGGCCCCTTTCTAGCAGCAAGTGTCTCATAGACCACAGTAGCAAGTCCAGTCACAGATAGGAGCCCAGCCTGGGAACGGTCCCGATGCTCTACATTTTATCAGGGTGAGCCCAGCTGGCTCCTGGTGATGATCAAGAGAGGACCAAGTAAATCAAGCTAATGAAACCAAGCTCTCATTGCCCTAACTTATCCTTGTATCTGGAGAGAGGACAGGACTGGAGCCACAGCTGCTCCTGCACTCTTGCCCTTATCCTTGGGTAAGATATCTTTTTTCTAGGCTTAGCTCATACTTGTTTTCTTTCTGTCTCGTCCAGGATGACCAGGGTGGACCTTCGGAATTACCTTGAGCAAATTTACAATGTTCCTGTGGCTGCTGTGCGCACGCGGGTGCAGCATGGTGGGTACCTGTGTTTTGGCTTGACTCCAGGATATAGCTCTGTGCCTACTCCATGATGTCTCCAGACTCTCCATGAGGGGAAACTGAGGCAGGAGGGACTTGGGTGACTTGCCAGAGTCACATAGGCTCCTTGGTAGAAGTCTGCTCCCAGCCCCTTTCCTTGTAGTCCATTGAAGGTCCCCAACACTTTTAGCTGTGACCCTGAAATGTCCTCTGCTCCTTCAAACCATTTTCTTAGCCTGGGCTGGTCTCTAGTAGATCTCCACAGTCTTCTCCACAGACCCTTATGTGGCCCATCAGTGGCAGAGCCAGTGCTCAGGGCTGGCTGACAGTACTGCCCCCCTGAGAAATGCCCAGAGAACGTACATTTCACCAGGGAGAAAAGAGGCCCCTTCTATTTTTTTTAAAAAATCTTTTGCTATCATTTTTATTTTCTAAGACTCTTTTTACTTAAACATAGAAACTGGTTTTGGTGGCATTACTGGGAGATCTGTCTGAGACCCCTCCTGATGCTCAGTCTACCCGTTGAAACCCCCACCTCCAGATGATATCCTGTGCCTTACTGGAAAATGGTTTCTAGACTGTAAGACTGATCAGCGGCCAGGATCTCAAGCAGGGTCTGCTGTCCCCTCACAGGCTCCAACAGGAGGAGGGACCACAAGAGTGTAAGGATCAAGAAGCCAGACTACAAAGTAGCCTACGTGCAGCTGGTGAGTGAGAACAGACCTGTTTCTGCTCATTGTCTCAACTGTGTCCTGGGGCTGTTTGTGCAATACACTCCACCTTTCTGGACCCTAGACCTGGAAACCTGGAGAGAGAAAAGCTCTGGTCCTAGTGCACCTCAGCAGAGTACCTCTGCAGAGCTCAGGAAGTCCATTCCTTATTTTGTGTTAAAGGCCAATGAATGCCTTGGCTTTGTGTTTGTTGAAAACAGAAATCAGAGGGAATGTGGAAAGCCACAGCTCTGTGAAGACCTGGTCTTGGACAGATCCTGGGTCTGGTACAGAGTTGATGTCCCCCTAGGAGCCCAAAGCAGTGAAGAGGTTGGGATCTCTGGGGCACAAGGGTCTTCACATTCCTGTTTGTCAGTCTCATCAAGACAGTGACTCTTCAAGTACAGGCACCAAAGCTACTTATTACATCTCATCCTTGCCTGGGGTCCAGAAAGAGGACTCTAATCTAGCCTGGGCCTTTATTTACTGAGTTGCAGACTTGCCAGAAAGTATGCATTTTCAAGCTTGCTCTCGCCCATAGTCTTTGAGGCCAGATTTTAAACCACCACCCTTGGGTCTCAGTGTCCAGACAGAATCCCCTTTGACCTCTGGGAATCTTGCCGGGAAGACTCCACTTGTCAGGGTCCATTAACTACCCCCCCACACACACACACACTGCTTGAACCTCACTGGGGGGCTTCCTCCAGTTCCTCCAGTTTCATTGTAAACAGTCCTCCAGGGAGCCCAGCCGCCACAGCTGGCCACTAGATGGCAGTCATGCTATTGAGAATGGGCTCCTCCCACCCCGCCTAGGCTAGATGACTGTTTGTTCAAAGACCCTGGGAGGGAGGCAGGCAGCTTTGCTGAAGAAAGAGCCACAGTTGTTCTAAACAGGCCTAATATTTGCTGTACATAAAATCAGCCATGCAGGTGGGCAAAGAAGGCCTGGGCCGTCTGAAGGCCTGTGTGTGTGTGAGCACTGGGTGTTGAATCCACCCATCTGTCTCTGTCACGGCCTGTGGGGCCACATCCGTATGCTGGCATTTGCCACAAGTCACTTCAGAGACAGCTATGGTTACAAGTGGCTTTTGAGACATATGAGCCCCTACATCCCCCCCTCCAGCCCCACCACACTCATGAAAGCTGGACTCAGTAGTTCTTAGATCTGGCGTCTGCAGCTGCCAACAGGCATGTCCACCTTCCTCTGTGAAATTGTGATAAATGGGGGCCCATCGTGGCCCCACTGGGCAAGGCTTCTTGATCAGAATTAAAATTTGTAACGCACCTCCTTCCAAGCTCCAGTCTAGAAATGGTTAGTGTTTGGGACTTCCCTGCTGTATCTGCAAAGACTGTCTTTGTCTTCTAGCATGTCCTTTGGGGGGCGGGGGGCTTCTGGTAGCTGCATTGTGAGGCTCAGGAAGGGGCAAGCAGAGGGAGAGAGACAGTTCATTGTGAGTGTGGACGTGGAAAGGCGGGTCCCACATGGTGGGCGTCCACATTTTTCTCCTGACAACCTGATAAACATCTTTTTGGTCGGGTGGGGAGGGAGCCTTAGCAAGCTCTCAGACCCCACATAACAAAAAGAGCATTGACCATGTTTACACAGAATGGTGTTTGACTGAGTGTTGCACACAGGCCCTGAGCCCTAGACTCCAGAATAAATGCTGCGGGCAGGCACAGTCCAGCCCAACAATGGCCCTCAGGGGCCCTGGGATTACTGGAGCCAGCTTCTCCACTTTTCCCCTTGGCCTTTTTTCTTTTCCTGCCTTGGGCCCCTCAAAACCGGCTTTCCCTCCTTGAAGGGTGGGTGGCTACATTTTTTTAAAAGTATGAAGTAATTATCTCTAGAGATATTCCTCAGAGAAGACATACGGGCACCCGTAGATGGTGAAATGGGTCCCTTTCTGGTTACTTCTGGTCTTTCCCAACACCTACCCGCATAGGCTGTCTTATCTTTGTCTCTGGACCTCAGGCTATCATTTTGGGCTCCAGCTGCCACCAAACCCAGCAGTCAGTTCTAGGTGAGCAGTCAGCTCTGCTTATAAGCTACTGCCTCCTTTTTTTAAATTTTTGAAACAGGGTCTCATGTAGCCTAGACTAGCCTGGAACTCCTTGTGTAGTCATGGATAACCCTGAGCATCTGATCCTCTTGCCTCCACCTCTCTAGTGCTGATTACAGCACCAAGCATGAACAGCCCCATGTTTTTATGGTACTGGAGAGTAAACCCAGGGCCCCATTCATGCTAGGCAGGAAGTCTACCAACTAAGCTGCATGCCCAGCCCCAAAGCAAGAGTCTGGGAACCAAGTGCACAACTCTGGCTGAACTTTCTAAGGTGCCCCAGATTCAGAATTCCCTCTTTGTTCACATATGAGACAAGAGGGAATGGTAAGAGGGGGGTCTCTCTGCCTCCAGGTTGGCCCTTTTGTGCCCCTTCCCTCTTACACCTCTTATCTTAGAGATGTTAGCAGGAAAGTGAACCTCCCAGCCCTGTTTCTGCTTAGAGCCTTGCAGTACTGGCTCGTTCCCCCTCCCAGGGCCTTCACTGGTGCTGGCCCACATGCTTGAGGCCCCAGGCTGGGACTTGGCCATGCTGACACACTCTGAACTTGTAGTGAAAGACGTAAAAGCAGTTAATTTGCAAAGCCAGGCTTGATTTATAGACTGCTGCGTATGTAGGTTTCTCTGTACGTTGTGTGCATTTTATTTGCCAAGTTCGGAGCCTGGAGGAGGGCGGCCTTTAATGTGGCTGAAGGCCTTTAGATATTTTGGATGGAAAAAGTTTTAGCATGGCACCAGACGTCATTTGTGTCCTGTTTTTCTGCTCTTAGTTCCTGCCCCCAGTTCCACCGGCTGCCGCCTGGTGAATGGGCCTTTGCTGGACTGCTTTTAATGAGCCCTGGGCTGGTGCAGACCCCTGTAAAGAGATAATGTCCATGAAAAGGGCCATTGTCCCAGTAATAGCCTGCCGCTGATAGATAAAGGTTGGAGGGCTGGACTGCAAGGTGTTTGTTTTCCCAGCAGGAACCCTGCCTAGAGACACTGGTGGCTCATCATCCTGTTGTTTGTCATCCAGGGTCCAGGATTGTTAGCCTCTAGGGATTGAATCCCTCTGTGAGATAGGAAGGCTAGCCTCAGGCTCTCAACTAAGCCCCTGTTTTTCTCTCCAGGCCCATGGGCAGACCTTCACCTTCCCAGATCTTTTTCCAGAGAAAGACCCCAGTCCTGCAGACCCTCTGGAAGAGGAGCCTCAGCTGCAGAGGCAGAGCAGCGACCCTCGGTGCCCTGGTATCCCTTCTTGGTTTGGCCTATGACCTGTGTGCTAACAGGGACTGGGCCACAGACCTAGTGAGCACAGTGGTTCTGACAAGCCCAAATAAAAATCCTTTGTGGAGAAAGACATGGACACTTTGCTTTCTGTCATGGATGGCGCCTCTGGGTCTCTAACACGTGGTGCAGGAGGCTTGCAGCACAGACAGCAGTGTGAACCTTCATACCTGATAGGACAGCTCAGGGTGGCTCTGTGGGAACAGAAGCCCACTGCCAGGCAAGTGTGTGAGCCCCAGGAAACAGTCCCAGATTGCAGCCCTCATTGCCCTCATTGCGGGGAGGAGGGGATCGCCTGTCCAGACAGGTTTTGGTGTGATACAATGGCAGGAAGGACCAGAGAGGGATGGGGAGCAGGAAGGATGTGGAAGGGCATGAGGGAGATGAGAGGCAGATCTGCAGGCTCCAGGGGCTGTGTCATTGCAAGGAGACAGCCAGGCCAGGCCACCATGACCAGAGGCTATGGGTGACGAGACATGAAAGAGCAGCATGGAGCCAGTATGAGTGCAGAGACCGAGATTACAAGGCGCAAAGGACCAGCAGGATTGATTGCTAGATAAAGATACTTCCCTTTAAGCCTGGGGACCTGAGTTTGATCCCCAGAACCCACAGAAGGTGAATTGTCCTGTGATTTTCACACATCTGTGGAGCACACCTGCCCACCAACACCCATCACACATACACAGGCAATAATTAAGATTTTAAAGGAACCAAGTCATATGCCTTTAGCTATATTGACTAGAATCTTGGGAGTGTCTATCCATTATTTTTCAGCATTAATGCCTGAGGTTTTTGGGGTTTTTTTGTTTGTGTGTGTGTGTGTTTGGGTGTTTTGGCTTCGATTTTTAAGGTAGGGTTTTTCTGTGTAGCCCTTGCTGTCCTGGAACTTGCTGTGTAGACCAGATTGGCCTCAACTCAGAGGTCTGCCTACCCCTGCTTTCTGAGTTCTGAGATTAAAGGCATGTGCCATTAAGCCCGATCCTAGTCTGTGTTTGTAACTGTGTCTAATATGACTGTGTGTAGGTTTCAGGGTGTCTGGTCATTTCACTGACTAACTGTATGGGTCTGTAAATAAAGTATCTCTGCCTGTGTCCAGTATTATGTGTATTAATATATCTGAGAGTTGACTGTCTGAGAGAATATGTGTTCAATTCTGTAAATGTGTGTCTGTGTATGTGTCTGAAACTGATTCAGTGTGTGTGTCTGAGTGTGACTGTGACTATGTGTCACTGTGTATGTTAGACCCACTATATGTGTGTGTGTGTGTCTTAAAGTATGTGTGATTGTGACTATGACTAGCTCAGTGTTTCTGATTATGAGTTTGTCTTGGTGTGAAATTTAATTCTAAGGAGGAAGTTTGCTTAGAGATTTGGGGAGCAGTCATGGTATCTCCATATGCCGTGGATAGCCCAGTCTCATCACTCATGTGCCCATGTGGCATCTCGCCCCCATCTCTGGGTGCCTGTCTGCCTGGACTTGGAATCTGTGCTCTGCAACATGGTTGGGCTGTGGGCTGTGGGCTGTGGGTTTTGAGCAGGGCTTGGGGCCTCCTGAGATGGAGTCAGTGCTCAGTCCCTCCCCGACTGGAGTGCAAAGCTGGGGGTGGGGATGGAGGGTGGAAAGCATGCTGGCGGAGGCTGAAGGCCAGCAAAAGTACCCTTCAAGTGTTGATTTAGAGGATGGGGAAGGTCAGGAAGTGGGCAGGAGAACTGTATTTTCCTTAGAGAAATAATTCATGGGGCCTCGGGCATGGAGGACCCTCACTGTTGGGGGAGGAGGAATCCCATCTTTCACGCCACATGCACAAGGAACTGTTCACAATCTCCACAAGGGCACAGGCGGCCCTGGGGGCCAAGGTCACCCTTCATCATGTCCTGCTGGCTGCCACAGTCCCCCCCACCCGCTTTTCTCCAATCACACCATACCACACACACACAAACACACACACACAAACACACACACACACACACACA